TTTGTGCGTGACAAGCGAATTCAGTACTGAAACCTTTGTGCGTGACAAGCGAATTCAGTACTGAAACCTTTGTGCGTGACAAGCGAATTCAGTATTGAAACCTTTGTGCGTGACAAGCAAATTTAGTACTGAAACCTTTGTGCGTGACAAGCAAATTTAGTACTGAAACCTTTGTGCGTGACAAGCGTTGCCTATCAAAGAATGGACCCTTCTAAAAAGTAGCGTGACTGCGGGACTAACAAAGAAATTCAAAATTTTTTCTCGATGGAATAGACCGTTTTCAAAAGGTTGCGTGCGTATGCAATCTTAACGGACCACAAAACTAAGAAAACGCAAATTCAGTACAATTGACAAGACAGTTTTATTTTCAAAGAGGAGAATAATCGATTTTATAAATTCTTATCGAAAATTTTTTCATAGCAACGCATGATAATACTTGTGTTCTGGTATCGTGGCCCGTCAAGTTCCTTCAATTTGGATGCGCACGCAACCTTGAGAAAAGGGTCTATTTGTGGCATTTTTCGTATTTCCATGTTAGTCTCGCTTTCAAGACAATTTTAAGAAAGGTCCAATTGGGCTACTAAAGTCATACTAAATATGTTAAAAAAGATACAGTTTCCAACGATAACAAGAAATATAAAATATAAAATAGGTATGACAGATGAATGATCGGTGATTCCGCCCCAAGCTTGTATACCAATGTACATTACAGAATTCCAGTCTTCTCCTGTCAGGATCTGAAGCAAAAAATACAAGGGAAATTGGTATAGCGAAGCACTGTGCCTCTGTTGGGTCATCCGATAATCATTAGCATCACCATCACCATCACTATCACGTACTATAACCACCATCATATGCATCATCATCACTATGATCATCTATGATCTATAGACACATGCAACTCTGTTGGGTCATCATAATTATTAGTATCGCCATCACCATCACCATCACGTACAACAACTACCATCATATGCATCATCACCACTATGATCATCTATGATCTATGGACACATGCAACTCTGTTGGGTCATCATAATCATTAGTATCACCATCACCATCACGTGTAACAACTACCATCATATTCATCATCACCACTATGATCATCTATGATCTATAGACACATGCAACTCTGTTGGGTCATCATAATCATTAGTATCACCATCACCATCACCATCACGTGTAACAACTACCATCATATGCATCATCACCACTATGATCATCTATGATCTATAGACACATGCAACTCTGTTGGGTCATCATAATCATTAGTATCACTATCACCATCTTTTAGACTGAAGCGACTGAACTTACAAATAACACTTTTAAAAGATGTCACCATGACGACATACCTGGAACACAGTGACCAACGCACGCCAGAAAGAGTCAAAATTACTTCTAGGTACCTCTACGTCATCTAGATTGAACCTACAAGGAAGCAATAACTAGAGCCCTTAAATCGTTTGCCGGGCCATCGATACGGAGTTTAAGCACCTTGATTACGGCAAACATCAGTCGACAAGCAAGATATTTTTTCAGAATTAGTGAAAAAGAATTGAAAAAATATAATAACTGTACATCGTGAAATTTGTAATTGCTTAAAGTAAAATGAAATGCAGGGAAAGGCTGAAAACGTGGTCATATCTACCGTTCGCGGGAAGAAAAAGCGCGATGCTTAATCTGTCTATTATCTCTTTTTCACACTACTTTTTCTTAATAATATATGATATATAATATATTAAGAGGAATTTTTTCTCAATAATGAGCAATAATGGCAAAAAGCGCCAAAAACTAGACTTTCGTATGAGTTTTGGTCCCAATTTTCGTTTTGGGTTAACACTCAAAACCTTTTTTAAATAGTTAGAAACTGATGTACATGATAAAGTGTCTGTTTGAAGCGGTATTTTTAATTGTACAAAGATGTTTTGTTGCATTTGTGTTAGAATGTTGCTTTGTCAGGTGTTTTTATAGAAAATATATGGGAAATAAGCAAATGAAGGCCTAAACCTCATTTTCGAATAAAATTTTTGCTTTGGGTTAACACTTTGATTCCACTTTCATCGGTCATCTTCACTTCCAAACAAGTTAAACTTTCTGAATAACAAGATTTTAGCCTTGTACAACAGCCTTCTTCAATAAAATAGTTTTTGGCGCTCACTGCTTGAATACGAAAACAAGTCTTTCTTAATATATCAATAGACCGTTTAAGCTTGTTTGAGTTGTATCCATATTCATGCGTCTTCTCATGGGTAACCATTAAACAAAGAAATAATATTCTAGGGAATGACACGCGTTCTGGAATGGGAAAACATTACGCTCAAGGTAAACAGATCTATTCTAACCAAAATAAAGGATCAAGGTGCTGGCCAGACGTTTGAGCCTTAGTCTGAACATACTAACCGTGCGCTCTGATTGGTTAAGCTACTAGTGGTTTATTTCAAAATTCTTTGTATCCATTTATTAGACCGATTATTAGGTTTAGACTTAAACAATTAGACCTCTTGCCCTCATGGTGCACGAGTCAATAGACCATTCGACCGTCGGCCTCATGGGCTTAGTATTGAGGAAATAGAAAACGCGCGCGCGTGCTGTGTGCAGTTATGAAGCACTCGGGGTTTGGCAGAACACGAGAGAAGTGTTAGAAGAAGCATGACGCGTAGCAGAGTGCTTTTCGACACTTCTCGAGTGTTCTGACAATCCCCAAGTGCTTTATAACGGCACACAGCACAGCAAGCAAGTTTTTTATTTCTTTTATAAAATACGAATTACATCAACCGTTATTTTAGATAGCAGTGATGCAACGGAAAGTGCGCGCGCGTGCAATGCGCTCTCATAAAGCACGCGCTCCAAACCAATCAGAACTCGACATTCACAACAGTTATTTTATAAAAAAACTCTTAGACCATTCGGGCTTCGTGGCTAATAATTCCATTTCGAGTTCGCATTTGTCCAGTCTTAGCCTCGATTGTGTACGAATGCGTTCTTCTATTTTATTAAGGTCCATTGTATAGTAAGTAATGTACGTACTAAGGAACAATAAGAGTTAATTAAAATGCCACGGGTTTTGGTTGAATAGCTGAATATTATGACGCACAACCGAGACTAAGGCTGAGCAAAGAGAACTCGAAGCTGGAGTATTGTTAAACATTCATCAACAGTTAACTGTGACTTACTTTCCACCAAAGATCTGCATACCCAGCAGAGCACAGATGAGCATGAATAGCGAGAGAAGCAACAATAATCCGGCTATAGATTTCATGCTGTTCAGAAGAGATGCTACCAAATTACTAAGAGAACTCCAATATCTGTTAACAAAACATTATTCCAAGGTTAAAAGAAACTAGAAAACAAATTGATGGGAAATAAACTGAATAAAATGTATTCTTCGTTTGCAATAGACGTCATAGTCGCCATGTTGGAAGAATTTGACAAAAGATTTTTCAATGAATTCTTTTGTTATATCTTCCAACGTGGTGGACATCCCTTTTGTTATTGTGCTCTCTTGGGATTGATCTGATTATCTGATAACTTTTCCTTCGACATTTTCTACGGAAATGCAAGTACTTCAACAGACGAAAATAGTAAAGTAATATTATTCTGACAGTTCCTTCGATTTCTTTGTTCCATTTTTGCAGTACTCTGTGTCTCAGAGTGCTTTGTTAGCATCGATCAATGCACATTATCTATGTTGCAATCACATACCCAACTGGCTGAACAATGACTATCTAATTGTAGATTGAGAACTCGTTTAAACTAATGAGTTTTCAAAGCGTTTGGGCCATGCGTTTACTCTTAAAACATCAAAAACTCAAAAGCTTTTTCAACAACAGCGCATACATTTGAAAACGCTCCAGAATGGAGACATTTGAAAACGTATCGTATCGTATATCTATCGTATCAGCGTAGACAGGGTAAACGGGGGCTTTTTAAAGCGTCCGACGTCTTTTACACCGGCACGTCTGGCTTTTTTCGCATCAGCCCAGATGACGATATTTGATGGTTGTTTTTGATGGACGCTATGAAAACGCTAGTGTGGACGCAAAGCTTTTGATGCGTTTTCGGTTAGGCGAAAACAGAGCGTTTCGAAAACGCATTAGTGTAGACGTGTCCTGACTCGTGGTCAGCCAATGTAACAGTCCTTACCTTGTTACTTTAAATATTCTAAGAAGACGCACACAACGCAGAACACTGATACCAATAGGACGCTTTTCCAGTGTTTCTGTTAAAGCTAACTCCAAGAGACTGCTGATCACAACCTACGATAAAGAGTGGTTAAAAATAATAATGGTTCAACCAACATTGCTTCTCTATTGGCCAGTCATAAGCACAGTTCGTAGATACTATCACTAGGGTAGCCACAGTAGTGCACTCGCCTCTCAACTCTGGGGTATTTAGTTTGATTCCTGGACTTGACATGACATGTGAGTTGAGTTTGTTAGCCGTGCCCTGACTCAGCCCAGAGGTTGTTTCAGGGTATGATCTGTAAGTTACCATGCCCTGACTTAGATCAGCCCAGAGGTTGTATCAGGGTCTGATCTGTAAGTTAGCTATGCCCTGACTTAGATCAGCCCAGAGGTTGTTTCAGGCTTGGATCTGTAAGTTAGCCGTGTCCTGACTTAGATCAGTCCAGAGGTTGTTTCAGGCTTGGATCTGTGAGTTAGCCATGTCCTGACTTAGATCAGCCTATGGATTGTTTCAGGCTTTGATCTGTGAAGTTAGCCGTGGCCTGACTTAGATCAGCCCAGAGGTTGTTTCAAGGTTTGATCTGTGAGTTAGCCGTAGCCTGACTTAGATCAGCCCAGATATTGTTTCAAGGTTCGATCTGTGAGTAATTAGTTTTGTATCGCGATTCTAAAGAATTTAACACACACACACAAAGAAAAATACTGACCGATTTTCTTTGATTAAAAGCGAAATTCTCCTTACGAGCGCGCGCTATGGGGCAAGCAACAAGGGTAAAAATTTGACGCGCGCGCGCTCAAGCTTTTCTTTTTTTCGCGCGTTAGCCAATCAGAAACCTCAATTTTGAAACGACAATACCACAAAATATTGTTGTGTCAAAAAAATGAGACTATTTAGTGAATCGCGATACTCCACGATATTCACTCACTTCGTCTTGGGAGAATAATTGTTAAATATCCCAAGTACTCACCAGGCAGTCAAATCTATTGAACAACGAAGCAAAATAACCATGGAATCCCAGACAATACATCTTAATCACCATCTCTAATGTAAATAGCGCTAAAAATAATTTATTTGCCTTATCTGTGGAAAAATAAAAATAATACGTCATCATAAGGGATGAACCATTAGATAATAGTCTCCTTCACAGTTCCCTGCACCATCTTGAAAGGTAGCCGTGCCTTTGCATCGAAGCAACCGTTGGTCTCGCTTCGATGCAAAGGCACGGCTACCTTTCAAAGTGGCGCAGGGAACTGTGAAGGGGACTATTGGCGGGAGGGGGTGCAGAAATTTATATGTATATATCGCGATATATTTTTTCATAGAAGAAGTGCTTGTTCGATATTTTTTGGGGATTTACTCAGCCCCACCCCCCCATCCCTCCCCCCTCAATTATCTAAAGGTCCGTCCCTAAGCATCAAGTTAACGTGAAAATGGTCTATTTTTGAGTAGGGAGAGCCGACACTGAGTAGCCTGAGGACAAGGCTAGTACTATCAATACTTTACCGTGACCGCTGGTATCAGTGAATATATAGACACTATTTCGAGGCTAACCCCGAGTAAATGAATCTGTAATCAAGGAACACAACGGTAATTTGGAACTTGAAAATGGTCTGTTTTGGATTAGGAAGAGCTGACAATGAGTTGCCTGATGACAAGGTTAGGACTATCAATATGTTGTGGTTGCAAAAGGGACCACTCTTTTATATGATGATATTCTCACCTAAAAATTGAGTAAGAAATTCCGGTTGATTGTAGTGCTCCAATGCAAGCGTCAGGGAGTTCAAAAAGACAACTACTATAACCGTCCAGTAAAATGTCTGGGTTTTGACAGCTATTCGACATTTTCTTCTTAATCGATGGTGAAATTTCTTGATGACTTTCCTACAAGACAAAACAAATACTGCTGTTAATGGCCTTATCTGGTGATGATCAACCAGCCATAGTATAGATCCCTTGTCCTGAGACCCGAGAGACATTTTTCTAGGGGAAAAACAATAGAAAAGACTGTTTATTGTTTCGTCCCCCAGAACAATAGTCCCCTTCACAGTTCCCAGCGCCATCTCTAAAGGTAGCCGTGCCTTTGCATCAAAGAGAGACGAACGGTGAGCTTGCAATGATAGACACATGTGAATAATTGGTGTTAAAAAAAGGTAGAAAGTCAAATAAAGAAAGTGGCCTTTCATAAACCCAGATTTGACCTACTTATTGTGTTGCCAAAAGCCTCCTTGGTCTAACGTGGTGGTGCTCTCCACATTCTCTTCGTTTGGCGTCAATTCACCATCTTCCATGCGACGTTTTGTAGCTACAAATTGATCAACCATCAAATTAGTTTTACCCAAACGAAGTATAAAGGCCGGTTTACAAGGTTTCTCGATTTTTCCTCGCAAGTGTCACGCTCGGCATGCTAACGACACGAATTGCTAGGTGTAAATCGACCGTAAAACTTGCTGACGACCGTACGACTTGACCGTGATAAATTTTAATTGGCTGATTTTTTCAGTCTCGCGCAATGTGATTGGTCAGGTAGTGGCGTGACCTTGGCGTGACCGTGTCCGCGCCGTGTCCCGGGTATTTGATTGGATGGAGAGTGAATATCTGAGCAATGTGATTGGTCTGGCGTATGCCTTGCCGTGTCAGGACCGCTTTCGTGTTTAAATGGCAGCTAAAACTTGGCGTAAGTATGTTGCGCGCGCGCGACAGTTGTGAGGAAAAATCGTAATCTGTAAATCTGCCTTAACGATAACATGGGTAGATATTGAAAAGTAATAAAGATAAAAATTAGATTGGAATCAAGAATTATATTTCCTAAATAATATAGATAAAAAAATATATATAATAACTGTTTTTTTACTTACAGACTTTTCTACTTGGTTTGCCCTCCTCATCTTCATCGCCGCTGCTTTCGCCTTCAATATCCTCTGTGAATTAATCAGTATTTATCAATGTATGTCTTGCATGGAAGATAGTTTGGTCTCTGCTTGATCAGGTTACATTAACAGCAAGAACACTTATGACAATGTCAGTCGTAACAAGTGAAATAGTTTGCAACAATGAAAATTAAAAAAATTGGCCGAAAACCGGGGTTGACGAACACTTGAAAATGATATTGATTTTGAAGCATAAGCCGTTCCGAGGTTGAGAAAATAACTGGATCGCGTTGGTATTGCAGATAGTTGGACTGATATAGGAGATATATATATTTAATAGCGTCTATTTCGTCTCCTAAAACAGTCCTACAATCTCCGGTTCTCAGCGGCGTATGGGGGAAAGAATAGACCTCTTCGGCTCTGACGTAATGTTTTCCCATTTCAGACCACGTGTCATTCCCCAGAGTATCATTTCTTTGTTTAAGGTTTGCGCTCAGTTGCACATGAGAAGACACATGGATATGGATACAGCTCAAACAAAGAATCTTATTCTCAAGGGAATGACACGTGGTCTGAAATGGGAAAACATTACCCCAAGCCGAAGAGGTCTATTAGGCTACGATAGATTACGATGGAAAATAAAAATCGTCTCCGAGGTAGTAACAGTAACTAATTAATCATCTAAAATAAGTTTATTTGCCTTCGCCATTTCCACCCGGATTTATGGAGTCTGCGCAGTACGATTAAATACGCCTAATCAACTCGCACCCAGAGCCTGCGTTTCTTCTGGCCTTCGGCGGAGAACGAGGGCTCTGGCATAATCCATTTTTTGAGACCAGGATTTCTTGGACGGTATAACAGAGCACGCGTTCAAACACTTGCCAAAAATTTTAAAAAATATTTTCCCGATTTTCAATTTTTATTATGATTTTTACTTTGATTTAATCTTTACTTTGATTATTTTGATCGGTTATATCTCACTTTCCGAAAATTACGCATACGCCAAAATATGGATCATGCTCTCGTTCTTCGCCGCAGGCCAGAGGAAGCGCAAGCTCTGGGTATGAGATTGACGTCTAGTCTCTGGTCTAGTCTGTCACGCGTCTTGTTGTTTTGTAAGAATGGTATACCTGCTCGAGCAATCCAGTCTAAATACCCGTGATACGCTTCGTCAATTTGTTGTTTTTCTCGTAGTTTTTGAAATTCGCCACTTTTCTGTGCTCTTGCTTTCTCTTTTGCAAATTCCCTGAAAAATGAGAAAGGTTTTCAACGACACAACGATGTCTGGAATAAAACTGATGAAAACCACAAACCCTTGATATGTTTTTCACGACGACACCACATAACTAATATTAAACAAACGAAGATAATGAGGTCGAAGTATATCGAAAATATGGTTAGTTATGATTACCACATGGGGATAACGGCTTTTAAGGGGATTTTAGACTTTCGCAGTCCTTCGTTCACGCTGAATAAATCACAGGCAGCCCCCG